CGACTACATAAGTGTGCAACCACCACCGCCATACACTTCGTAAATACACGGGGAGCTGTACTTAGGCTGAACGGGAGCACAATGTAGCAAAATGCTCTATGGCCTACCATGAATGAGAGGAACCTGCGGTGATGTGGCACTATAGAGAAATGAAAATAAGCATCTTGTAAGTCTATGGTAGCAAACCAGGCATCTTCAGGTATGAGCGGCATTATTGATGAAATCATGCGATTCAATTATTATTGAATCATGCGAAATTTCTTGGGCGAAATCGATTTATTTAACTCTCTGAGATCGAGGATGGCTCTAAAGCCACCTCCGCGCTTCGATACAACAAAATACCTTGAGAAAAAACAGGATGCAAACATTGTAGTGTGAACAGGTGAAATGGCACCCTTGCCCAAAAGCGTGTCGATTTCCTGGGACAACACCTGGGAAGGGGGAGTAACCTTAATTGTTCCCACCGCTGGTATTTCGTCAAACTCAATAGCATACCCCTGACTGACTATTGATAATACCCATTTGTCAGTGGTAATTGCAGCCCAATTGTCCTGAAAACCTTGTAATCTGTTACCAAACATTATTGAAGGCGGTGGGCAAGAAGACAGGGGTTGAACATTACAAATAGGATTAACAGGTAAGTCAATGGGTCCCTCAACTGGAGGGCCGGTTTCGCCCGAAATGACGCCATTCCCCCTGGCAGGAGCATCAAAGACGCTTCCTCGAGGCGCCCTGAGTTTTCGGCTTGCCCTGGTAGGGCTGATATCTAGGTTTGGATGGGTAAGTATTCTTTCTGTTACCCTGATCATAGAATCATAGAATCAAAGAGTTGGAAGAGACCTCATGGGCCATCCAGTCCAACCCCCTGCCAAGAAGCAGGAATATTGCATTCAAATCACCCCTGACAAATGACCATCCAGCCTCTGCTTAAAAGCTTCCAAAGAAGGAGCCTCCACCACACTCCGGGGCAGAGAGTTCCACTGCTGAACGGCTCTCACAGTCAGGAAGTTCTTCCTAATGTTTAGATGGAATCTCCTCTCTTGTAGTTTGAAGCCATTGTTCCGCGTCCTAGTCTCCAAGGAAGCAGAAAACAAGCTTGCCCCCTCCTCCCTGTGATACCTGGGGAATGAAGAGCCCCTCCCTTTAAATGACCCTGAGTAGGAATTACTAAAATTCTTACGGTAAGTATTCGGTGCTGATTGCCATCTAGTTCAGTTTTGGTAGGGCTGCCAAGTATATCCAAATTTGTTGGCAGCTTGGCGCACCTCCTGTTTCTCTTTGATGGTAACATCTGTCTCAGGGTTAAAGAGGCCTTCCTCGTGCAGAGGGAGGTCCTCTGCCAGAGCCTTGCCCTCCTCTGAGAGGTTGACTCCTCTCAACCAGGCATGTCTCCTTACTGATGTTGCAAATAGGTGGCCCGCGGATTCAGCTAAATGCTTAGTGAAATCCTTTTGGATTTTAGATAACAGAAGGGCTTCGGACTGCAGCGCTTTAGGGAAGCGCTGCTCCTCTGGACGGAGCTTCTCCAAATACGGGAGCATCTTGGACCAGAGGAAAGTCTGATAACCGCTAATGTACGTAGCATAATGAGCCATATGGGTGACCAGGCCAGCGGCCAGGTGAACCTTCTTTCCTAGCAGGTCTATCTTTTTTCCCTCCTTGTCCGGTGGGGCCGAAAGTGTTCCCTTAGGCTTCTTTGACTTTACCACCTCGGCCACAACGATGTTGGGCTTTGGGGGGGTTGAGACCCATTTAGCTGCTGCCAGGCTGATTCTATAGAGAGAGTCAACCTTTCTGGGAGTGGCAGTCACATTGGCTGGGGACGCATCCAGAATTTTTGCCAATTTTATGAGATAAGGTAGCATGGGGAGCAACGTGGAGACTGGTACATTTTGTTCCTCCGAGGGGAACATCGGGTCCTCCACGTGCTCTGGGGCCCTGGGAGCAGGTATATCTAACGCTTTGATCATTCTGTCCACTAGGGACGAGAATTTATTAAAGTCAGCTGGCAACGGGGTGGCATCTGTTGCTTTCTGAACCTGTGTTGAATCGGTAGGATCGGTTGAGGAGACAGAATCCTCCAACTCTTCTACATTTTGTTCCTCCATGGGTATGACCGCATCTTGAGCCACCAGGGGGGTGCCAGGTGGCTCAGGATGGGTGGGAGCGAGTACAGAAGCAACATCACAATTACTTTGGTCTACACAGAGAGAGCGGTCTACACAGGCATTGCGGTTAACACAAGCAGGATTTCGGTCAGCACAAATATTATGGTAAGGATAATCCCTTTGTCCAAGTTCAGCATTGGAAGTGACAGTTGCTTGGGCCGACGTAGGGGGTGTCTGGGAGAAAACTGTAGTAGCAGTTACACAGCCCCTTTGCTGCACACCTGGGATTGCCTCCATTCTGGTAAAAGGGGCAAAAGGGGGGTTTGGATGCCGGGCAAACATAAACTGGCCCGAGGGTCCCAGCTGCCACATTCCAGGGTAAGGGTATGCACTGGGTCCATAGCGGGTCCATTGAGAGCTAAATGAATGTGACCTCCTAGACCGACGTGCCCTCCTGGAACCCCTGGAGGATAAGGAGGAGGATAAGGAGGATGAAGAGGAGGAGGAGTCAGAAATTGAGCATGAGGGAGAGCCCGGCCTCGAGCGTCCCCTCGGTGCCCTCTGACTCCGGGATCCCCTGGAGCGATGGCTCCGTCTTGATAGGGAGCGCGATCTCCTCCTTCTATCCCTGCGCCTCTCCGATGATGATCTTGGTACCGGCGCAATTGGGGTTGGAAGGCATTCAGCGGCTGGTAAAGGGCTCATCCCGGTGCTCGGCCGTGGTTCCTGTGCCTCCGCCCCTCGAGTGGGCGGAGCCTCTGGCTGGGGGAAAGCCACGCCCCCTGAGGAGGCTGGCCTCTCGCTCCCGGGAGGCTTGAGGTCGGCAGCACTCAGTATCGGCATGGGAGTCGACGCCGACTCCCAAAGCTGCGCTTCGACATCGGGGCCTCCCATTGGGGAAGCCAAGGCCAGAGGCGAGAGGGCCTGTCTCTGCACCGCTGTCGGCAGTTCCATTATTGGTGCCTGAGCCAATGGTGACGGGGTCGGGTGCTCCTCCTGTGCCGACTGTTCTCCGGCAGGTAAAGGCAGAGCGAGCTCCCTGTGTTGGTGGGAGGTCGCTGGCGAGACAGTCGGGGGAGCGGCAGATGAGGGGTTTCCCACCCTTTTGCTGGGCGCTTTAGCTGGGGCACCCGCCGAGCGGCCATTTTGTTGGGCCTTGTCTCTCTGCTTTTTGGCCTTCTTCTTTAGGACCAAAGGGTCTGGCCTGGCCTGCTGCGCTGCCTCCCCAGTTGTTGGAGGCCTATTGGCAGGGGCGGGGGCATTAGGGCACTCTCATAGAGTGCCGCCTTCAGTCGCGACTCTATTTTTCCGTGTCTGCGGAGTGAATGCAGCACAAATCGCGCATGGTTGGGAGAGGTGTGCCTCGCCCAGGCAGGCCAAGCATAGCTCGTGTCCATCTGTGTCCGGTAGGACATTCGGGCATGCCGAACATTTTTTGAAAGAAGTCGTCGCCATAAGGTCAGTCCAAAACCGGGGAAACAGAGAGGTAGAGAGAATCCAAATCCAGTCTGGGTTGAGGGGGATAGAGTACCTTGTCGTTCAGTCAATCCAAGTCAAGTCCAGTAAGTCCAAAGAAATAGAGCTACAGCGAAGGTTCACTAGTTGATAGCCCACTGATGGTGGGAAAAAAAGGACTGGTGGCTGGCCCCTCCCAGGGGTCTTATATACTCGAGAGGGGGTGGGGCGGGGCCAGTAAGGGGATACAATTCTTTTAAGCTTCTAGAACGTTCCGAAGTTGGCCTGCGCAGGAATACCACAATGTGCGATTCACAGTTGACTAAGACAGGAAATGACTCTTCATCTGTGGGAGTATATCCCGGATTTTCTTCCTTTGTCACTCCTCATCCGATTCCTGCTCCCAAGTAACCCTCTTAGTTCCCCTATTCACATCCACTGTATCTCCTTCCTCTCCCTCACTGATCCTTCGCTGATCAGAAAACCGTTCATCGGTAGGTGACATAAGTATATCCCGGATCCTTTTCCTTTGTTGTTCCTCATCTAGTTCTTGCTCATGAGCACTCCTTTCCCCCCTTCTGACACTTATACTACCACTTGCAGTGTTACTAACAGGCTCTACTACAACATGTGGGGTCTGACATAACCTCTGAAGATGCCTGCCAGATGCAGGCAAAATGTCAGGAGAGAATGCTTCTGGAATATGGCCATACAGCCCGGAAAACACACAACAACCAAGTGATGTTTGTTTGGCTGTCTATGGCCACGTTCAGAGGATTTCACCCTGCTTTGTGTCCCTGTAATAGATTTTTTTTTTTAAAAAAATGGCTTGTTGTGGAAACAAGGATTGGGGAGAAAGCTTAAGTTGAGACACCTTTTCTCCACCTGAAATCGGAGCCCCAACATTGCATTTTAAAATCAATGGCACTTTGCAATCAATGAAATACTATTACTTGAAACAACATGAGTCCACAGCAGACACTCTGCTGGCTGTTGTATTGGATCACGTCAGACACTTCCCAAGTGTCTAGGACTGTGTGATGTATCACCAAATAATGCATGCAGATCCCAGTAAAGTGGCCTTTTGCAGCTGGCAGATAATCTTGTCAGCACTGATTGTGTTTAAGTGCAGGCCAAGGTCTTTAGGCACTGCACCCAGTGTGCCGATCACCACTGGGACCACCTTTACTGGTTTGTGCCAGAATCTTTACAGTTCGATTATTATTATTGTTGTTGTTGTTGTTGTAGTAGTAGTAGTAGTATGGTTTTCTTACTGCCTGGGACAGAAGCTCTCCTAGATTACTCTATGTCTGATAAGGCAATTAATTTTGAACTCTCCAACTGAAATTCCCCTCCCATCCCCAAATTTCACGACCAGGGCTGGCCTTAGATTTCAAACCAGAAAAGCCATGCGGAGGACCTCCATGGACCTGCAAATTTTGAGAATTCTCTTTATTAGTTAGTGAGTAAAGTACAAAAGGGGGACGACGACAGGATACAGATATTTTAATTTGGTGCAATATTTTTTAAAAGTGTGGAAGTTCAAAAGACTCAAGAATGACAAAACGAAGGCCAAGGACAGGAATGATAAGAAGAGGAAGGCCAACCCTTCCTGGAGAAAGGCTCACCCCGACCCCATATAGAAATAATGCTCTGGGGTCCAGCTACTATGGAGGCGAGTGGGAAGGGAGGCCCACTTTTTCTCGGCCAAAAAAAGGGGAGGAAACAGAAACAGCAGCGTTTGTTCTCCAGTCCAAGGAAGAGCCCTTCTGCCTGTGTGCAAATGGCCTTCCAACAGGAGGCGGCGGAGGCTGTCTTGCCACGCGGGAGGTCTAGTTTGCGGGGGGCTTGGGGCAGGCCATGGCCCCCGACTTGGAGCTGAGCAGCTTCTCCACCATGGTGTGGCCGTAGCGGAGGCGGCTGGCCAGCCCCTTGCAGCAGCCGTGTTCCTCCAACAGGCTCAGGCGGTAGGTCCGGAAGCCCCGCCGCTCATCGATGTAGGACACGGCCCCCATCAAGGGACACAGGATGATCTTGGTGTGGTCCTAAGGCAGATGAAGCAGGAAGGGGTTAAAAAAAGGGTCCGAGAGGTGGAAGGCCAGCCTCATAGACATTAGAAGGGTCATGGAGAAATGGCGCCATGGAATCAATAGATTTGGAAAGGGCACCCAAAGGCCCATCTGAAAAAAAGAAGGAAAGCACCATCCGAGCCCTCCCAACAGATGGCCACCCAACCTCTTTTAATGAAGAGTTAAGGAGAAATGAGACTAGAATCCAAGAGATGGAAGGAGCACCCAAAGACCATCCGGTCCAACCCCATTCTGAAATACAAGAGGAAGGCACCATCCTTCCGACCCTTCCCAGCAGATGGCCATTTAGCTTCATAGGCATTAGAAGGATTATGGAGAAATAGGGCTATAGAATCATAGATTTGGAAGGGGCCTTCCAAAATACAGGAGAAAGGCACCATCTGAGCCCTCTCAGCAGATGGCCATCCAACCTCTTCAAACAGAGTGAAGGTGAAATGGGGCTATAAAATCCAAGAGATGGAAGGGGCACCCAAGGGCCATCTGGTCCAACCCCATTCTGAAATACAGGAGGAAGGCACCATCCTTCCGAGCCCTCCTGACAGATGGCCATCCAGCCTCAAAGGCATTAGAGGGGTCATGGAGAAATAGGGCTACAGAATCATATATTTGGAAGGGGCACCCAAAGGGCCTTCCAAAATACAGAAAGCACCACACAAGCCCTCCTGACAGATGGCCATCCAGCCTCATAGACATTAGAAGGGACATGCAGAAATAGGGCTATAGAATCATAGCTTTTTTGGAAAGGGCACCTAAGGCCCATCTTAAATGCAGGAGGATGGTACCGCCCAAGCCCTCCCAGCAGATGGCCATCCAACCTCATAGCCTCAGATAACCCAGTTCAATGCAGATATTGTGGGATTATCTGCCTTGATATTCTGGGTTATACGGCTGTGTGGAAGGGCCTTCTGTATCTATTCTTGTGCCCCACTCAACTCCCAGGCCAAAGGGGAGTGTGTTTTGTTTTGTTTTTTGGGAAGTGGGTCGGCAGGAAGGTCCCACCAGGCCTCACCTGGAAGAAGTTGATCTGGACAGTGCCGTTGCTGAGGTGCAGGATGATGGCACTGCGGGTGCGAAACCAGGTCCGGAGGTAGGGTAGGCGGGCCAACTCATCCCCTTCCCTCGGGGTGATGTTGGCCCCGGCCTTCAGCAGGTGCTCGCTCATGTAGTTGCTGAAGTATGTCAGCAGCGTCACCTGCAAGGAGACCGGAAGGGTCAGGGCTTTGGGAAACATACGGCTCTGGGGCCAGACCTCTCCACTTAGGCAGGAAGGCTTTTGGCAGCTCTCAACCTGCCCCCCCCCCCATTGGTAACTGACTGACCTTTTTGTTGAAGGACTCTGGGTACGAGCGGACGTTGAAGTAGGACTCAGAGCCATTCTGTTCAATGTATTGGAGGTTGTCGCCATCCTGGTAGAGGATGAGGCGGGTGGAGTCGTTAAAGAGCACCCCGACACTGTTGTCACAGAGCTGGTAACCTGAATAATAATAATAATAATAATAATAATAATAATACCGCTGCTCAGATGATTAATTGGAACCTGTGCCACGAATACCATCTGTCTGCGACAAAGAACTGGTGGGATCACAAGATGGAAAAAGTTACAGAGAATGAACACGCCAAACTCTGATGGGACTTCCGGATTCAGAAAGATAGTTTTGGAACATAATACTCCTGACCTCACAATCGTGTTAAAAAACAAAGTATGGCTCGTTGATGTCACAATCCCAGGTGACAGCAGGATTGCAGAGAAACAAATAGAAAAGCTGACACGATATGAGGATTGAAAAATCAAACTGCAAAGACTCTGGCACAAACCAGTAAAGGTGGTCCCAGTGGTGATTGGCACACTGGGTGCAGTGCCTAAAGACCTTGACCTGCACTTAAACACAATCGGTGCTGTCAAAATTACCATCTGCAGAAGGCCACCTTACTGGGATCTGCACGCATTATTCGCCGATACATCACACAGTCCTAGACACTTGGGAAGTGTCCGACATGTGATCCAATTCAACAGCCAGCAGAGTGTCTGCTGTGGACTCATCTTGTTGTGTTTCAAATAATAACAACAACAACAACAACAAAACAACAACAACAGTTGAAACGCAAAGGTTAACATTAAGACTAGAACATTAAAAGCAGAAAGTCCACAATATGGAGTCAATCTACACAGCTTCATCTATGACGCATATAAAGTCTGTGGGTATGGATAATAAAATGAGTATGTTAACACTTCATCTGCTAAAATTCATCCACAAACTGCTTCCTTTATTTTTATAGCTTAAAGGTAAAGATTTCCCCTGACATGAAGTCTAGCTGTGTCCAACTTTGGGAGGCTCATCTCCATTTCTAAGCCAAAGAGCCGTCATTGTCCATAGACACCTCCAAGATCATGTGGCCAGCGTGATTGCATGAAGCACTATACCTATTTATCTACTCACATTGGCATGTTTTCAAACCACTAGGTTGGCAGAAGCTGGGGCTAACAACGGGAGCTCCCCAGGTTTAAACCGCCAACCTTCAGCGGCTTACCCTGCTGCACCACAAGGGGGCCCTATAGCTCAGCCACTCAGTAAGTGATCAATGGGGAGCTACGGTGGTGCAATGGGCTAAACCCAGCTGAACTGCTGACCTGAAGGTCAACGGTTTGAATCTGCGAGACGGGGGTGAGCTCCTGCCTGTCAGCCCCAGCTTCCCATGTGGGGACATGAGAGAAGTCTCCCAGCAGGATGGTAACATATCCAGGCGTTCCCTGGGCAACATCCTTGCAGACGGCCAATTCTCTCACACCAGAAGCAACTTGCAGTATATTCTGAATTCGCTTCTGACACAATAAAAAGAAGTGATCAGTGGATCCCCATCCTTTATGAGTTTTAGATAATATTCTTCATTTCTGCCAGGGATCTTCTGTACAATAGGAGTAATAAAAACTGATTGAATATCCTTATGGAAGTGCCATTGTAAAAGGACAAGCCTGGCAGTTTCCCCTCTCTCCATACTGCATGGGCATATACGCTTATGGTAGAGGAGACACACTGAGAGGCCCACAAAGATTATGGGCTGAGGGTCCATGAGGCTACAGGATGCAATGGCCAAAATATGTGAAGAAAGCGACCCCAAAGTCAAGACAAAGCAGACCCAGACTCAGAATTTATTCTTACCCACCTAAGCCGTACTTGTCTGAGTAGTCCACCCACTTGCTGACCCAAAAGATGGGGATGCAGGCTGGGTCCTCAGCATCCTCTGGAAGAGAAACTGACAGGTTACTAGAGGGAATCATGCCAGCTCAAAGCCCATTTTCCCCCACCATTGCCAGCCGCTTCACCTTGCCGGATGATGGCCCTTTCGGAGGGCTTGGAGGCATTCACCAGGGCCAGCTGCTGGAGCAGGTCGGCCAAGTGGCCGTCAGTGGTCTCCCCGGTCTCTCTCAGGGCCACCTCCTCCTCCTTCTCGGCCACCACCTTCTCCAGCGCAGGGCTCTCCGGGCCTGGATTGGGAAACAAGGTGCTCAGGTGAGCCCACACATCGTCCTTTTTGAGCCACACAACAAAATTACTGCACATTGATTCCAGCTTTAACTCCCACCATGGTTCCATGTTTGCAGTTTGAGGCAGGGGACTTGGAAACCTCTTACTGCGCTTTGTTCTTTCAGGTGTTTCGGCCTCTGGAAACGTTCAAGATGGAATGAACAGTGGTGGAGTCTCCATCATTGGAGCTCTTAAAGTACAGCAGGTGATCTGTTAGGAGGGCTTGGATTGTCTGGTAGAAGGAATTGGACTGGATGACCTTTGGGGTTCCCTCCAACTCTCGGATTCAGATTGTGACAGAGTGCTTCTTTGGACATCTTTTAACCAAGACTGGATGGCCATCTGTTGGGAGGGCTTGGATTGGGTATCTCTGCCTGGCAGAAGGGGGTTGGGCTGGATGACCTTTGGGGGTTCCAACTCTAGGATTCAGATTGTGACAGAGTGCAATCTCTGGATGGTCATCTGTTAGGATGGTCATCCATTAGGTATCCCTGCCTGGCAGAAAGAGGTTGGACTGGATGGCCCTTTGGGAGCCCTTCACACTCTTATGGTTCCTTCATCCATCTATTTCATTAGAGCTGTTGGACAGTGGCCCCTTCCAACTCTGTAACCCTATGAATTGTAAGCCTGGCCTCCTCACCACCCACCTTTCCGTCCCATGCTGCCGCCCTTTCCTTCCTTCCTTCCTTGGCGCTCACCCTTGTTGACCACGGTGAGGGGCTTCCTGGTGGTGAGGTCCAGGCTGGTGGGGGCCAGGGAGAACCTGGGGGGCACGGTCAGGCAGGTGGTGGGCAGCCGTGAGGGGGTGTAGCCGGTCGTGAAGAACTCCTCTCCCAGGAGCTCATCCACTGTGGGGCGGGCTGCTGGGTCCGAGCGCAGCATCTTCCGGATCAGGTTGCTAGCCACCGGGTTGACATTCTGCAGGAAAAGGGAGAGGATGAAGGCCAGGCCCGGAGCAGAGTGGGCGCCGGAGCTCCCAGCTTCCCCTTGCAAAGTCTCTGCCCAAATCTGTCTCATGAATGGAGGTGCCATGGCAGCCACTTCTATCATCCACATACCACAGTTACATAATTCCCAACCCACCCCCAATCTGGGTTTGGAAACAGGAATTGAGGGTTCTCCATCTTTGGAGGCCTTTAGCTATGTGTGTTTCATAACTCCTTGTATTTCATTCTATTTTAATGTTTAGGTTTAAATGTACACATTGCATGACTTCTAATGTTAACTGCTTCAGGTCTCCTTTGAGAGAAAAAAAGTGGGATATAAATACATATGACACCAGCGGCACCAATTCCTTTGGGAAGTGGCTTAAAGAGCTGGGCATCTTAAGCCTGCAGAAGAGAAGGCTGAGAGGAGACAGGATGAGGGACATGTATCAATATGTGAGGGGAAGTCATAGGGAGGAGCAAGCTTGTTTTCTGCTGCCCTGAAGACTAGGACACAGAACAATGGCTTCAAACTACAAGAATGGAGATTCCACCTGAACATCAGGAAGAACTTCCTAACCATGAGAGCTGTTCAGCAGTGGAACTCTCTGCCCTGTTGTCTGGTGGAGGCTCCTTCTTTAGAGGCTTTTAAGCAGAGGCCGAATGGCTATCTGGCGGGGCGCTTTGAATGCAATTTTCCTGCTGCTTGGCAGGGGGTTGGACTGGATAGCCCACGAGGTCTCGTCCAACTCTTATGATTCTATGGCCACTTTGAGGCCTCTTCGACAATGCCATGTAATCCAGATTATCAAATCAGATAATCCACCATTATATCAGTCCACACTGCCAGATAATCCAGTTCAAAGCAGATAATCTGGATTTTATATGGCAGTGTAGAAGGGGTCTCAGTCTTCTTTAAGAAAGAAGAGATAACTACATGCAGCAATAATAATGATGATGATGCCTTCATGAAATAGGGACTTTTGAGTGTCTTTTGGGAGAGGATAAGCAGGATATTACGACGACAACAACTACTTATATGTCTTAGCGAAGCCACGTTAAGTCTCCTTTGAGAGAGAAAAAGTGGGACATAACTACAAATAATAATAATAATAATAATAATAACAATAATGGCATAGGTACAGGGGTTGAGCTAGATGGCCTTTGGGACCCATTTAAATTAGTATTATTCTAGTTTTCTTGCCTTTGTTCTTATCAAAGTTTCAACCCAGCTGTGGCTTTGGGAGAGGCCTAGAATTTCTTCTTTGGGGCTGCTTTAAAGACCATGGATTTAATGCCACCATTTAGTGCCCAGGCTGTACCTGTGGGATGGTGTAGTCGTTGTTCTTGATCCGAATATAGGTCTCCTTCAGGCACGAGGTCTCGAATGGCGGCTTGCCAACCAGAAGGGTGTACCTGCAAAAAGAAACCAATGAATATTGCCTCAGCAGCAGATAAACCAAGGTTTATTGTGCAAAACATTTTCAACCTTGGTGGGGAAAAAGGATGCCTTGAGCTGAGTAAATGAGCCGTCAGAGAGATCATATTTTTACAACTCACAGAATTGTGTTAGCGCCAAAACATTTTTTTAAATTTTATCTGGTTGCTTCTTTGCACAAAACTCCAGTGAAGTGCAACTTTTGTTTCATATCAGAAAGAGTACATACGGAACACTAAATAAATGGTGTCCTATGCAAAGTAAATGCTGGGGGCTATTTTTTTGCACAGGAAAAAAGAGCCCCAAAGTGCAAAAACTATGCCCTAGACACAAGGGATCTGTGAGTAAACTTGTGCTCAGCATTTACATCCAGTTTTGCATGACAAAGTGGGCATGGTTGGCCCATGCCTGTGTCCGTACATGATGCATCCAAGGGACCAGATGTCCACCTCGAAGCTGTGGCCCTTCTTACTCAGGACCTCGGGGGCAATGTAGTTGGGGGTCCCACAGAGGGTCTTCTTTCGCTCTCCGTCGTACTCCACTTTAGTGGCCAAGCCAAAGTCACCTGCAAGAAAGACCAAGAACAGCCTCGCTTTAGTCCTCAGAAACACACTGCATCGTGGGATTTGAGTTCTTTAAAAATGAAGTTTGACATGAACCAGGCCTTTGGTTGAAGACATTTAAGCCCCTTTGATGGGATTGTATTAGCTGACACCAGCCGCTAATCTCTTCAGCCTTTACCTATCTTGATCTCCATGTCATCATTGAGGAAGAGGTTGCCCAGCTTGAGGTCCCGGTGGATGACCCGGTTACTGTGCAAATATTGGCAGCCCTGGATGATCTGGCGTAGGAGGTATCGGACCTCTGGCTCCGTCAGGGCTTTCCGGCGCTTGTGCAGCTCCAAAAGGGACTAAAAGGAGAGGGAAGAGGACCAGAAAAACCCACCATTAGAAAAGGAAACCCAATGGAAAAAAAGGGAGACGGGGCTTTCTCAGTGGCTGCTCCCAAACTTTTGAACTGATTTTAGAATATTTTTATATGCTCTGGTTTTATGTCTGTATAAGGTAAAGTTTTCCCCTTGACATTAACTCTACTCATGTCTGACTCTGGGGGGTGGTGCTCATCTCAATTTCTAAGTCGAAGAGCCGGCATTGTCCGTAGACACCTCCAAGGTCATGTGGCCAGCATGACTGCATGGAGTGCTGTTTACCTTCCCACCGGAGCGATAACTATTGATTTACTCATATTTGCATGTTTTCATACTGTTAGGTTGGCAAAAGCTAGGGCTAACAGGGGAGCTCACCCATTGATTTACTCACAGTTGCATGTTTTCAAACTGCTAGATTGGCAGAAGCTGGGACTAACAGCGGAAGCTCACCCTGCTCCCTGGTATAAATCGTAACAAATCCCAATAATGGGGGGAAAGTGGGATGTAAATGACTGATATTAGTAATATTAAGAATACTAATAATAAAGGCCAGGAATCAGAAAGTGCATTGGGATTCTCATCTTTCTCCTTTGAAAGGGAGTACCCAACAGGACTTCTCTCTTCAGTTTCATCTGGATTTTCACCCAGTTTTCCCAGATCCCAGTTTAGCTAAATGCAACCTACAACCTTTCTGGACTGATAACTCCCAGAAGTCACACCAGCCTGGGATTTCCAGTTTGGCAAGTGCTTTCCAACTCTCTCTGAATGAGTTCTGAGAATTCTGAGCCCCTCCCTTCTCAAATTACAAATCCCAAAACTCAACAGAGGAAACCAGGACTGTTAACAAGGCATGAATGAGGGATAAGTGGCTGGTCTGGACACAGCCGCACAAAGGGCCAAGGAGCTTCAAGCCGATGGAAAGGCGCCTTGTATTCCCTTTGGAAGGGCAGCCAGCCGTTGAGTTTTCAAAACAGGGAGCCAATGGCTCCTTCTGGCATGGCTTCTCCTGTTCCCAGGAAACCCAGAGGCTGCTCCTAAAACAGACCTCGCCCCCTTTAAAATGCAAGATTCATATGCTCTCCAGACAGAAGATGGATTTCCATCCAAGCCAAATATGCTGGAGATTTATTTTGCTTCTTTTCTCACTCAAAGCCACCAAATGAATGTGGAACTGAATGGAGCTTTTTTGGGTTGCTGTGAGTTTTCCGGCTGTTTGGCTGGAAATTCCATTTGGTCACACTGTCCTTGTTGGGACTGAATGGAGTTTCCAACAAAGAAGTGAGGCAGCTGTTGACTTGGAGAAGATAAGGACACACATACATTTGAAGACTAAGGAAAGCCAGCCCCCTCTCCCCCATATAAGAACAAGGACAACTCAAGATCCTTCTACATTGATGTACAAAATCCTTATTTGCTTTGAACTGGATTATTTGGCAGCATAGACTCATATAACCCAGCTCAAAGTGAATAATCTGGATTATATGGCAGGGTTGAAGGGGCCACCATCTACTCAGATTCTGAAAGAGCAAGAAAACCCATCCCCTTGGTCCAAAAGCTATGTTGTTAGGAATTGCAATCCCCAGCCAACACTAAACTCCAGTTTACATCTTGGTGTGCCCCTGACCTTTGAGAAAGCCAGTGGGAGTAACCAGCCCCAAAGTCTAAGAGCGAGTGTGTGGATGATGGGCCCTGCAGTATCCCCTTTTGGGCATTATAAGGACAAGATAAAAGGGGACCAGAAACCATGCACTCAAACTCTGAAAGAGCAGGAGACCCCATCCTAGATTATTATCTGACAGTGGGTCAGGCTTGGGCAAACTTTCGCCCTGCAGGGGATGTTGGACTTCAACTCCCACCATTCCTAACAGCCTCAGGCCCTTTCCTTTCCCCTCTCAGCCGCTTAAGCGGCCTGAGGCTGTTAGGAATGATTGGAGTTGAAGTCCAACACGGCCTGCAGGGCCAAAGTTCGCCCATACCTGGTGTAGACTCCTCTAGAGTGTCAGACGCTGGACCATGCAACAGCTCACCCTCCTCCTGCAGAGCTCGAGGACAACGAAGACGAAGTTGGGGTCCTCGAAGCAGCCGTGGAAGGCCACCACGTGCCGGTGTTGGAGGCTGCGGTGGATGGCCACCTCCATGGACATCTTCTCCTTCTGCGGCGCCTTCAGCAGCAGCGCTTTGGGCACCACCTTCCCGGCGAAGACCTCCCCGGTGGCCGTGTCCGTCAGCTCGTAGCACCGCGCGAAGCCCCCTTTGCCCAGGAAGCGGCCCAAGCGATACCGGCGCCGGCTCCGAGGGTCCAGCACTTGCTCCGGGATCGAGGCTTTAGCCGCCGCTTCCTTCGCGGAGGAGGAAGCGGAGGAAGGAGGCGCCCGGCTGGGCACAGCGGCGCTCATGCTGCCAAGTTCGGGGCGCTTTTACGCACGGAGTTGGGTCGAGTTTGGTGCCTTTTTACGCGCAGTTTCCCAGCCTCGGTCCTCACCCAACTTCGGGGGTTTCCAATCGAGAAGGAGGTCAAGACGCCTCTCTTGCTTCCCTCCTTCTTTTTAAGACGCCTCGCCTTCTTTCCCCCTTTTTCTCCTCCTCTGTTCTTGCTCTGTGCGCTTTGACGCACCAAAGTTGGGTTGAGTTTGGTGCCTTTTTACGCACAGCTTCCCGGCCCCGATCCTTGCTCCACTTTGAAAGTTTCCAGTCAAGGAGGAAGCAAAGACGCCTATATTTCTTCTCTCCTCCTTTTAAAGATGCTTTGCCTTCTTTCCCCTTCGTTTCCCCTTCTCTATTCTTGCTCTACGTGGTTTCATGCACCAAAGTTGGGTTGGGTTTGGTGCCTCTTTTACGCACAGCTTCCCGGCCCGGATCCTCGCCCAACTTCGAGGGTTTCCAGTCGAGGAGGAAGCCAAGACGCCTCTCTTGCTTCCCTCCTCCTTTTTAAGATACTTCTCCTTCTTTTCCCTTCCTTCTTTGCTTTCTTTCTTCTGTTCTTGCTCTGGGCGCTTTCAACGCACCAAAGTTGGGCTGAGTTTGGTGCCTCTGTTACGCACAGCTTCCCGGCCCCGATCCTCGCCCAACTTCGAGAGTTTCCAGTCGAGGAGGAAGCCAAGACACCTCTCCCCTCCTTTTAAGACGCCTCTCCTCCTCGTCTCCTTCTGTTCTTCTCCTTTCTTGGTTCTTGCTCTGTGCGCTTTTACGCACCAAAGTTGGCTTGAGTTTGGTGCCTCTTTCGCGCAGTTTCCCGGCCTCGATCCTCGCCCGGTGACAATGGAAAGTTCAAGGGTTTCCAGTCGAGGAGGAAGCGAAGCGAAGACGCCTCCCTTGCTGCTCTCCTCCTTTTCCCCCCTTCTCTTTCCCTTCTTCTTCTTCTCCTTCCTCCGCTTCTACGCCCAGTGTGGCTGAGTTTTGGTGCCGCCTCAACGCGCAAGTTTCCCGGCCCCGATCCTCGAGGGTTTCCAATTTGGAAGGAAGCTATCGCGCCTCCCTTTCTTCTCCTCCTCCTATCTTTCCTTCTCCTCCTCTTTCCCTTTTTTCCTTCTTCTTCTATCTTTCCTTCTTCAGAGAGTTTTGGGGCCGAGTACCTTTTTTACCCACGGTTTACCGGGCCCGGGCTTGGAATATGTCCTCCTTCCTCCGCCTTCGCCCTTCCTCGAGGATTTCAAACCCGGAGCCGAAGCGTTACGCCGCCCCCAAAGGCGTTCCTCATTGGCTGCCCCAGGTTTAAACTGCCAGCGAGGCGCGCGGAGCATCACGGGAGGAAAACCCGGTGGGAGGAGGGATTGGGAGGAGGGCACGAGTGGAAGCCCCGCCTCCTCCTTTCCCCTCCTCCAATGGGACTCCTCTAAGTAGAGACTAAGTCAACCGCAGAGCTTTCCAAACCTGGATTGGGGAAAGGCTTTGCACTCGTGTAAACACATTGGATCCAATGGGACTCCTCTGGCCATCGCCTGGAAAGGGTCCCAAAAGAGGCCACCAAGATCAGAAAGAAAAAGGGAGGCCTCCAAACATGCATCCTATAGCTTGTTTACCTCTCCAACTTTTTTTTGTTTCAGATGGGCTTTTACAGGCATGTACAACCATGGCTCTAATTGTTGTTGTTCATTCGTTCAGTCGTCTCCGACTCTTCGTGACCTCATGGACCAGCCCACGCCAGAGCTCCCTGTCGGCCGTCACCACCCCCAGCTCCCTCAAGGTCAGTCCAGTCACTTCAAGGATGCCATCCATCCATCTTGCCCTTGGTCGGCCCCTCTTCCTTTTGCCTTCCACTTTCCCCAGCATAATTTTCTTCTCTAGGCTTTCCTGTCTCCTCATGATGTGGCCAAAGTACTTCAACTTTGTCTCTAGTATCTTTCCCTCCAGTGAGCAGTCGGGCTTTATTTCCTGGAGGATGGACTGGTTGGATCTTCTCGCAGTCCAAGGCATCTCAGAACTTTCCTCCAACACCACAGTTCAAAAGCATCTATCTTCCTTCGCTCAGTCTTCCTTATGATCCAGCTCTCACATCCATAGGTAGCTACAGAGAATACCATTGCTTTAACTATGCAGATCTTCACTGCCAGTGTGACGTCTCTACACTATTTTATCAACATTGGTAATTGCTCTCCTCCCAAGAAGTTATCTTCTGATTTCCTGGCTAGTCTGCATCTGCAGTAATCTTAGCTCCTAGAAATACAAAGTCTGTCACGGCCTCCACATTTTCTCCCTCTATTTCCCAGTTGTCAATCATTCTTGTTGCCATAATCTTGGTTTTTTGATGTTTAGCTGCAACCCGGCTTTTGCGCTTTCTTCTTTCACCTTGATTAGAAGGCTCCTCAGCTCCTCCTCGCTTTCGGCCATCAGAGTGGTGTCATCTGCATATCTGAGGTTGTTAATGTTTCTTCCAGCAATTTTCACCCCAGCTTTGCATCCATCCCCGCACATCGCATGATGTGTTCTGCATACAAGTTAAAAAGGTTGGGTGAGAGGATGCAGCCTTGCCGTACGCCTTTCCCAATCTTGAACCAGTCTGTTGTTCCGTGGGCAGTTCTGACTGTTGCTACTTGGTCCTTGTACAGATTCCTCAGGAGAGAGACAAGGTGGCTTGGGATGCCCATCCCACCAAGAACTTGCCACAATTTATTATGATCCACACAGTCAAAGGCTTTAGAATAGTCAATGAAGCAGAAGTAGATGTTTTTCTGAAACTCCCTGCTTTTCTCCATTATCCAGCGGATATTGGCAATTTGGTCTCTCGTTCCTCTACCTTTTCTAAACCCAGCTTGAACATCTGGCAACTCTCGCTCCATGTTTTGCTGGAGTCTACCTTGCAGGATCTTGAGCATTACCTTACTGGCATGAGAAATAAGGGCCACTGTACGGAAGTTTGAGCAGTCTTTCGCATTTCCCTTTTTTGGTATGGGGATATAAGTTGATTTTTTCCAGTCTGATGGCCATTCTTGTGTTTTCCATATTTGCTGGCAAATGGCATGCATCACCTTGACAGCATCATCTTTTAAGATTTTAAACAGTTCAGCTGGGATCCCGTCATCTCCTGCTGCCTGGTTGTTAGCAATGCTTCTTAAGGCCCATTCAACCTCACTCCTCAGGATGTCTGGTTCTAATTCATTCACCACACCGTCATAACTATCCTCATATTATTATCCTTCCTATACAGATCTTCTGTATAGTCTCGCCACCTTCTCTTGATCTCTTCAGCTTCTGTTAGGTCCCTGCCATCTTTGTTTCTTATCATACCAATTTTTGCTTGAAATTTACCTCCAATGTTTCTAATTTTCTGGAAGAGGTCTCTTGTCCTTCCTATTCTGTTGTCTTCTTCCACTTCCATGCATTGCTGATTTAAAAATAGTTCCTTATCTCTTCTGGCTAACCTCTGGAATTGCGCATTTAACTGGGCATATCTCCCCTTATCCCTGTTTCCTTTTGCTTTCCTCCTTTCTTGGGCTACTTCCAGTGTCTCAGCAGACAACCATTTTGCCTTCTTGGTTTTCTTTTTCTTTGGGACGTACTTTGTTGCCGCCTCCTGAACAATGTCGCGGACTTCTGTCCATAGTTCTTCTGGAACTCTGTTTACTAAATCTAGTCCTTCAAATCTGTTCTTCACTTCCACTGTATATTCACTAGGAATGTTAGTGAGATCATATCTAACTGGTCTGTGTATTTTCCCTGATCTCTTTAGTTTTATTCTAAATTGTGCAATAAGAAGTTCGTGATCTGAGCTACAGTCAGCCCCAGGTCTTGTTTTCACCGACTGGATGGATGTCCGCCACCTTTGGCTGCAAAGGATGTAGTCAATCTGATTTCGGTGTTGACCGTCTGGTGAGGTCCATGTGTAAAGCCGTCTTTTAGGTTGTTGGAAGAGAGTATTCGTTATACACAGCGAGTTTTCCTGGCAAAATTCTATCAGCCTGCGTCCCGCTTCATTTTGTTCTCCCAGACCATGCTTGCCTGTGATCCCAGTTGTCATTTGACTTCCCACCTTGGCATTCCAGTCTCCTGTAATGAAAATAATGTCTCTTTTTGGTGTATTATTCAGTAGGTCCTGCAGATCCTCATAGAACTGATCTACTTCTGCTTCTTCAGCAGCTGTGGTTGGGGCATATATTTGGATCACTGTAATGTTGAAAGGCTTTCCTTGCACTCGAATTGAGATCATTCTGTCATTTTTTGGGTTGTATCCAAGCACCGCTTTAGCGAATTTCTTATTAATTATGAAGGCTACTCCATTTCTTCGATGTTCCTCTTGTCCGCAGTAGTAGATCGGGTGGTCATCTGATGTGAAGTGGCCCATTCCAGTCCATTTCAGTTCGCTGACCCCCAGAATGTCTATCTTTAATCTTGACATCTCACCAGTAACAACATTCAGTTTGCCCTGGCTCATAGATCTTACCTTCCAGTTTCCTATGGTGTGTTGATCTTTAGAGCATCGGATTCGTCGTTCACCTCCAGCACCATCGGCCGCTAGCCTTCCTTTCGGCTTTGAGCTAGCTGCGTCATCACATCTGGGGCTAGTTGAACTTATCCTCTGCTCCTCCCCAGTAGCATTTTGGCCATCTTCTGACCTGGGAGTCCCATCTTCCAATGGCATACCGACATATCTCTGGTTGTACTGGTCCATTTAGTTTTCTTGGCAAGGATACTGGAGTGGTTTGCCATTGCCTTCCCCAGGGATCACGCTTGGTGGTCTGACCTCTCTGCCACAACCGTCCCGTCTTGGGTGGCCCTTCACGGTTTCGCTCATGACTTATTATAGTATTATCATAGTATTATTACAGTATTATAATAGTATTATCATATTATTATAGTATTATGATTTTATGATTCTATAGTATTATTATAGTATTATTATAATATTGATTCTATGATTCTATAGTATTATTATAGTATTATCATAATATTATTATAGTATTATTATGATTCTATAGTATTATTAAGAAATGCTGGACTACTCTAACAACTATCATTTCAGATTACACAGAGAAGCCACTGAAATACACAAACATGTGGACAATTTCAACAGAAAGGAAGAAACCATGAAAATGAACAAAATATGGCTACCAGTATTAAAAAACTCAAAAATTACAACAGCAAAACAACAGAGGGGAAACAAACAGGCACATAACATCACTCTCAACAAAAGATTCCCCCCAGGCCCTTCCAAGCCATTGAATGCTAATCAAGGTGATCAGCTGAAACATTCACAGCTAGCCCCAGCAGACAAAAGTCCTTTGTCCCACCCTGGTCATTCCACAGATATATAAACCCATTTTTCCTACTTCCAACAGACCTCACTACCTCTGAGGATGCTTGCCATAGATGCAGGCGAAACATCAGGAGAAAAATTGCCTCCAGAACATGGCTATATAACCCGGAAAAACCTACAACAACTTTATTATTTAATTATACTATTTTATTATACTATAATAATATATAATTATGATATAATGAAATAGTATAATAAAATAATAATAAATGATATATATAATGATATAAATTATATATAATTGTATATTGTATTTATTGTGCCGTTATATTATGTATTCTATAATAATAATAATATACTAAACATATATAATTAATATAATTATATATATATCATTTATTATTTTTATTATACTTATTTATTCTACTATAATAATATATTGCATTATTATGCATTATATTATTATATATTCTATAATAATAATATACTATAATAAATAATAGCATAATAATATGGTAGTTTTCCAATATTTCCAATTAATAATAATAAAAGTAATAATAAACTTCATTTGTATACTGCCCTATCTCCCCTAGGGGACTCAGAGCGGTTTCCACATATGCAAAATAATACAAAAACATATAATGTAAAACAAAAACATAGGCATAAACTGTTAACACAACATATACATTAAAATCAATTTAAAACCAGTTCCACCAAGTCCTAACTTGGAACAAGGGCTTGAGACTTGAGACTAGGCCTGGAAAGGTCCCTTTGGAAAGCAAATCATTTGGGGAATGTGTTCTGTCCTAGTCCAGGTGATTGTGAATGATGTAATCCTGGGTCTGAGTTAAGTTAATGAGTTGGGAACCAATCAGAGATTGCTATGTGTAATTGTATAGAATTGTATATTAGGAAGTCATGTAGAGTGCATACCAGGGGTCCACAAACTATGGCCCGGGGGCGGGATGCGGCCCTCGAAGGTCATTTACCCGGCCCTCGCTCAGGGTCAACCTAAGTCTGAAACAACTTGAAAGCACAGAACAACAGCAACAACAACCCTATCTCATCAGCCAAAAGCAAGCCCACACTTCCCATTGAAATACTAAGAAGTTTATATTTGTTAAAATTGTTCTTCATTTTAATTATTGTATTGTTTTTAAGTGGTTTTTGAACTACAAATAAGATTTGTGCAGTGTGCATGGGAATTCATTCATGTTAATTTTTTTTCCAAATTGTAATCCGGCCCTCCAACAGTTTGAGGGTCTGCGACCTGGCCCTCTGTTTAAAAAGTTTGAGGACCCCTGGTGCATATTCTCTCCTTGTGCTGTGATGCTGTTTGTCAAAGGCTCTATGTAATTGATTAAAAGAACCTGTCTGCTAAAACAAGATATAACCGTGTGCTGTGGTAAGTTTGTAGTGTCATCTAGATTGGAGGAGAAAACAATAGTAAAACTGACAATGGCCGGGCATGTGCTCAAGTGCCTGTAAAGAGATCCAGAGTGACTGCAGTTTGTGGGAGCAGTTGACTGAAAATACTGTGCAGGAAGAAGCTACTGGAAAGCACTGAAGTTGTGCAACTAATCTGCTGCTGAATTGTGAAATTAATCTCAACAAATATACTGCGTAATAATGCAATATATTATTATAGTAGAATAAATAAGTATAATAAAAATAATAAATGATATATATGTATATGTATATCTATCTATCTATATAATTATATAAATTATATATGTTTAGTATATTATTATAGAATACATAATATAACAGCACAATAAATACAATATACAATTATATATAATTTATATAATTATATATATTGTTTATTATGTTATTATACTATTTCATTATACCATAATTATATATTTTATAGTAAAATGAAATAGTATAATAAAATAATATTAAATTATATATATAATTATATAAATTATATATGAATAGTATATTATTATAGAATATATAATAATATAATGGCACAATACATTATTGTCTCCTGTGCTATGCTAATAATATAATACATTGTATATACTTATAATACTTACAATATTATAATGTAATACAATACAATACAAATAATATTTTATAATTACATATTTTATATTACATGTAATATTACTTATAATATTACAATATAATGGTATAGTAGAATATAATAATATACAATACTGATATTGTACTATGCTAATAATATAATGCATTGTATGCATATATATCCTGTAAGATGCTCTGAGTCCCTTTCGGGGTGAGAAGGGCAGCATATAAATGTCGCAAATAAATAAATAAATAACAAAATAATAAATTATATATATAATTATATAAATTATATATGTGTGTGTATCTATATCTACACACACACATATATATACACACATGCACACAACTATAGATATAGATATAAAATTATGATAATAATAATAATATACAACATTTATGCCTGGCATATATTATTATTATTATTATTATTATTATTATTATTTTATAGTAATACCATAATAGTATAATAATAATGATAAAATAGTTTAATAAAATATTAATAAATTATAGATATGTATCCATATCTATACTCAAATATTTATATGGATATAAAGTAGTGATGATGATAATAATAAATACATTTATGCCTGGAAAATATTATTATTGTTATTACTATATGATTTATTTTTTATATATTATATAGTAGTATAATATATGCATAATATATGCCTGCCTCCACAAACAGCTATAATAAAAGTCAGTGTTTGTATGTATGCATGTATGTATATATGTATGTATGTATGTGGCAGCTTCCCGATTGGCTTCTACTTCCACGCTTATGCCTAGCAGATGGATATGTAAATTCCTGCTACCCCAAAATCAATCCAAGTGGCACTGATTCAAATGTCGTTTTTATAAAAGGAAAAGGACCTTGGATTCCAATCAGATCTTCCTATTCAGGTATGGGCCTGCTCTTTCTCCTCCACCAATCAGAACCCTCGACTCCAGATCGCCCGCCTCCCGGCCGACCAATCAGGGCATTCCAGTCGATCAGCTCCGCCTCCACTATAGTGCAGGGAAGTGCGCAGGCGCGGTTGCTAAGGGGCGGGGCGTCCTGGTTTGCAAAGATCTGGCGGGAAACCGTGGCATGAATGGAGTCTCCTCGGGACCAAGCCCTGAACCCACAACAGAAGGCCCAGGTAGGGGAGCAGAGGAGGAGGAGGGGGGCCAGAAGAATATTATGCTATTAATAGTGTAATAAAATAATAGCATAATGAAATCATATTATCATGATATTATCATGATAAAATCTCCAAAAAGGAGACTCAATAATTATAATGGATAACTACAACTTCCAGCAGACTGGGGATACTGGGATGTGTGCTTTCCCCCCAAAGAAGAATCCCTTCAGGGATTGAGTGGAGCCTGTGGAACCTCCCGCCACAGGATTATGGAGAAATTGGCCTTTTCTCTTTCTCTGTTCCCCGAAAATCTGCTGGAAATTTAAGAAACAGGCAGTTAGGTCCTTGTGGCTTCCCTTCCAAGGCTCTTCCAGAGTCTTCAAAGCAGGTGCCAGCAAACTTTGGCCCTCCAGGTGTTTTGGAATTGTTGGAGTCCAAAACACCTGGAGGGCCAACGTTTGCCCGTGCCTCCTTTAAAGAGTTTGGAAGAGCCTTGGAAGGGACCACCAAAGGCCATCTAGCTGAGCCCATTCTTTCCATCCTGCATCTTTTCTTGCAGTTTGAACCCATGTTTCCATTGCAAAGTGTTTGGGAATGTCTGTCTCACTATGTGTTTTCCTTTCAGCTGAAGGAGAAGCTGGTCTTGTTGAAAAGAGAATACAGGAGGACCTTCCACCGGTTGCAGGTTAGTCCTGGGCCTCTCCCTTTGGTGTCTTTTTGCGGGCATTCAGGCCTCATGATGCCAACAACAGTCCACAAACATGCTGAAGTTGTGGATATTACTGCTCTTTCCAACCCTGTTTTTGTCTTCACAGCGCGCAGAGAGAGCCGAGAGGGTGAAAACCTATGTCAAGAGGACTGTAGCTGAGCAAAACCTCTTGCTTCATCAAGAAGGGAATGAGGAGGACCGTTCAGGTAATCGTCTGGAGGCAGAAGTTTGTGCTTGTCTGTTAACATCATCATCATTTTACTACCCACCTCTCCTTGTGGCTTGTGTCTGTGTCTCAATATGTTGCCCCTAACCAGAGATGATAATAATAATAATAATAATAACAACAACAACAACAACAACACATTTTTGCCTCTCCTTGTGGCTTGTGTCTGTATCTCAACATGGTGTCCTTAACCAGAGTTAATAATAACAATAAAAATATCTGCCTTTCCTTGTGGCTTGTGTCTGTATTCATATCTCAACATGGTGTCCTTAACCAAAGTTAATGATAACAACAACAACAACAATAATAATACATTTATTATCTGCCTCTCCTTGTATTTGTATTTATGCCTCAATATGTTGCCCTTAACCAGAGATGATGATGATGATAAATAATGTATTACCTGCCTCTCCTTGCAGACTGTATTTGTGTCGCAGCATGTTTTCCTTAACCGGGGTTGTTGTTGTTGTTGTTGTTGTTGATAATAATAATAATAATAATAATAATAATAATAATAATACATTTCTTACCTGACTCTCCTTGCAGCTCGTATCTGTATCTGTTGCAACATGTTGCCCTTAACCAGAATTCTCTGGTTGTCTTTAAGAGGTGCAATAACATTTTCTGTTAAGATATATTAGTTTTGAAATGTTTTGTTGCTGTCAAGAGTAGAATGTACAGGGCTGTTGTGTTTTTCTGATGGTAAACATAGCTTTCCTGTGTTTTGATTTGCAGGATCTGCCACCGGCGCAGGGGCTTTGGTGGCTTTGGTTGGGACCTCTCCAACAAAACCGGTCTCTGTCTCCTTCAGGCCTGACCCCGAGGTCTTTGCCCCGGAAGACACCTGCTTGCCCTTGACTCCAGCCTCCAAAAGTACGAAGCAGAACTGCAGAAAAGTCCTCTTTGGTCCTGAGAAGAAAGGGGCCTCTCTTTCCAGGGGCAGAACCAGGGCACAGCGAAGGATAACCCTGCCTTTGGAAAAGAGAGCAATACCTGCCCCTGAGGCTCTTTGGAGAGATGAGGGGAGCCAGCAGGAGCAGAAGGCAGCCTGGGCTGGCCTTGTGGGCTCTCAGTCACCCGTCTTTGAGCGCAGGAGAAGCAACAGCATTTGGGAGGCTGTGCCAAAGTGGTCAATGACTGCAACGGATGGAAGCAGTTGTGAGTCAACTCCTTTGTTGCTGTGGCCAGAATGTGCCCAAGAAACCATCTTTCCTGGCGATTCCCAACCACGTCCTTCTTCCCCATCCTGCAATAGCCATGTGCCCTCCATTGACTGCACCAAAGACTCAGCTGGAGAGAAGACCTTGCCTCAAGAAGACTGCATCGTGAAGGAAGAGGAGCCGATGGAAGTGGGTCACACACAATCAGAAGAAGACCCAGCTCTGTGGAGATTTACAGACTCAATGGAAAGACATGGCACACAAGAAGAAGGGAGATCAGACCTGGAAGCACAGGCTCCCACCAAAACATTGCAGGAGAAGGCTTTAGAGGGACCTCTTGACCTTGACTCTCCCCTCCAGGAGGGGAAGATGCCACCTACAGAGCTGAGCTCTTGCACGGTGGTTGAGGGCCTCCTCTTCCCAGTGGAGTATTATGTGAGGACCACCCGGCGCATGTCCAGCCGCCAGAGGGAGGTCAATGTGGAGGCCGTCATCCAAAGCCAGCTGGGGAGGAGCAAGAAAGGACAGAAGGCCTCACGGAAGACAGTTTTGTCTTCCCAGAAGGCAGCAGAAATCCCCAGGCAACTGGAGTCGCTTCCTTTCTCCTCTCCTGCAGCTTCTCCTTCTGATGGAGGCCTGACTGAGGGGCATCTTCAGACCAGGAGGAAGGGGAGGCCGAGGAAGAGGGATCGCTGGCTGACCCCCTCTGCCCCCTCGCAGGACTCAGAGAGAGCAGGTGCTTCTTTCATCTCCAGGGAATGTCAAGGAGAAGAAGGAGGTGGTCCTGATGACAGCAAGGCCACAGAGTCCCCTGTAAGCACTGGTGGCCATTTAGGAGCCAGGCGAAAGGGGCCAGGAGAGGGCAGGGGCCAGGAAGCTGAGTTCCAAACAGCTCTTGACTTACCTGGGGCCCCAGAAGCTGAGCCTGGCCCTGGCCTCCTTCCATGGAAGGAGAGAGAAACCCTCCCAGGTATGTCTTTCCAGTCTGCCAATGAAATTAAAAGTGCTTCAAAGCAGAACTGCTCTTAATTCTGTTGGTAACTTGCTTTTAGTTTTTGTGTGATTATATTTTTTAAGTGGCATCTGGTTTGTAAACCGGGGAGAAGTTGGGATATGAATGTCACTACTATTACTGTTATTGCACTTGCCAATCCACATCTTGATGCCTAAAAGGTTAGCCCTTTTCTGTGTATATTTGGCCTGTTGATTCCCAAAACAGCACCAGCATTCCTCTATCGGCCCTAGATTTTGAGGTACAGAACCTATGTCATCTGCTCACCTATAGAAAACCATGATAACCCTATCTAAGAAACTAGAACTGATGTGGTCAATCCAATACAGTATTCTGAATCAGTGCCCCAAAGAACCTCTGGAATAGGCCTAAAAACTAAGACACCAAGTAAAATATTGTTGGGCTATGTTCTCAATAACAACCATTTCTGTCTGTTCCTAAACACACATAGCCAGAGGTGAGGGGAGTGCTGGGTGATGCAAGAATATCTGGGGTCCATGCAGCCCAGAAACACTTCAGGCTGGGCTTTTCCATGTGCCATTTCTCCTTTCCTGCTCACAGAAGGAAGCGGACAGCTGCCTGAAAGCCCCATTGGACTTGGTTTGGCTTCCAGTATTCTTCCCTTTCGCAGCCAGAGCGGTGAGGCCACCCTTCTCCAGTGGCTGCCACCTTCCATCCCAGCGCTGCAAGATTTCTGTTTACCGGAAGACGAATTTGGCCTCCTGAAATCAGAAAAGATCAAGACCTGTGCTGCTGTGGTGGAGGTGAAGGGTTTGGCTGCTGAGGTTAAAGGCTCGACACCAGGAGAGCATCTCGCTGATCCTGCCATAATCGCCACACCGGAGGTCTCCGCTGCCTCCCCGCTTGCTCCCCACTTGGCCCCAAGGTGCCTTTCCAGCGACCTGCTCCTCTCTCCGGCCCTGGAGGCATCCAGTGGCCCACTGCTGTCTCCACTGCCCAGCCCAGCCTTCCCTTTCCTGGGAGCCACTCCGGCCTCCCCGCCTTTCCCTACCAGCCAAGCTTTTAGTGCTTCCCCTTTGCAAGGAAAGCCTGGCACCGAGCGGGAGGCCTCGCCCTCCTTCCCACAAAGTGGCACAAAGAGACAGCGCAAGGCCAGTTGGCCAGCCGAGGAGGAGGTGGCGAGCCTCCAGGAAAGGCAGTTACCGGCTGGAGCATCCCTGGAGGATCTCAAGCAGGTAAGAGGATGGGAAGGGAACAACACCTGTTGCTGCTTCAGTCAGAAACATCAGATGTGTCTTCTCTCGATCACTCCATTAGAAACACTTGAGCTGAGCATGAGAGAGACAAGGCCTCCTTGGTCACTGCTCCCAGGCTCCTTGGCTGAAAGCTCTCCCTGTAGCAGCTCCTGGTAATACAGGATTTTCTCAAAATGATGGGACAGCTCTCAAGTATTTAACTATTGAGATCTGGAAGGCCTCAGGTCTAGAAGAGGATGGTCTAATAAGAGGTTTCTGCCATTTGCAGACAGCCTTTGTGGGATAAGAAGAAGAAGCTTTATTTGTTACCCACCTCTCCTGATGACTCAAAGGGGTAAAACTCTGTCAAAACATATAAACATAAAATGCATGCAACAAAATGCATATATCAAAACACAGGGTACACAGAGTAACATACAGCTGCAAATGAATCTCTTCTGGCCAGTCCATCCTCAGTGTTCTTGCAGTAGCCAATGAAAAGAGGGGCCCTTTGGGTGACCATTGCCAGTTGGGTTTATTCAGCTCAGGCACAAATGTGGTTTCTGCTGGGCCTTTTGGACAGCGCTTCATGCCCAGAGCTGAAAATGAAGCAGGAATCTGGCATCATTCATCATTTGATCGGCTGTAATTTTCTGTCCCAGAACGAAGGACTGGAGCAGAGCCCGGAGGAAGTGGCACCAGAAGAGATGCCTGGAGAAGGCTGCCTGCAAATGACTTCCAGACTCAAAGTAAGAGAAGGAAACAAGGTGCAGGAATGGATTGCAGGACTGGCACAGCTGGCTGAGTGTCAGCTAAGATCACTTCTGACCAAAAGGTCATGAGTTCGAAGCCAGCCCGGGTCGGAGTGAGCTTCTGACCAATTGTGTAGCTTGTTGTCGATCTTTGCAACCCGAAAGACAGTTGCATCTGTCAAGTAGGAAAATTAGGTTCCACATATGTGTGGGGAGGCTAATTTAACTAATTTACGAGGCCATAAAAAAAGACTCCAGCAAAGCATGCGGGGAATGAGGAAGTACTTCATCAGTGTCGCAGATGGACGATTAAAGCGACAGCTCCCCTGGCGGCCAGAAAAGTTAAATCGCCTCTGACTGTCTGCCTATATCTGTTGTGTGTCTTTGGCATTGAATGTTTGCCATATATGTGTACATTGTAATCTGCCCTGAGACCCCTGCGGGGTGAGAAGGGTGGAATATAAATACTGTAAATAAATAAATAAATAAATTGGTAAGATGGGATCTTATGATGGGCAAGGCTGAGAATGTTTCCTGCCTAGAAACAGCAAGGTCAGTTAGAAATAGAATATCCAGAATACTGTTTTGAGCTGAAAATGGCTCCAGGAGCCCAGTTTAGACATCTTTCCTTCTCCAAGCCAATCAGCATCAAGGGCCTATGTGATTTGCAAGAGTTTGCAGATATGTGGTTCATTCCTCTTCCTCTCTCCTTGTCCTGGACAGACCTGTGCCGGTCCCTCCTCCTCCTTTGTGGACGTGAGTACCGTTTGGTGGGAAGTGGACAGTTTCACGGTTCTGTGTGTCGTGACAGCCAGCGAGGGTTCTGTTTCTCTGTGGAGGCCCCTGGATGCTGGGCACTGGGCCCCCATCCACACCTGGCACTTCACCAAGGTAGATATTACCATATGTGCAAATTCACAGCAGACCACTAGGGAAACTACGGTTACAGGTAAGCAACCTCCAATATTTCTTCCATTCTAAAACTCACTCCCCCCCCACATAAAAATGGAGTGTGTCTTAGAATTGCAGGTGTATTGTTGGTGGTGGTAGTACTGATGAAATTAGGGTCTGTCTTACAATCAATCGATAATGTTTTACAATGGAAGAAATAGGGTACCTAACTTTCACTTATGGTTTATAGTTGTTAACCCATACACAATCCTAGGTCTTTACTTTTGCACAGCTTAAGTCTTCTCTCCCTCCCCCTGTATTGCATTTCCTTATTGTATGTGGCATTTCCTAGTAGTCCTCTGTATCATTCACTGGACTGGCTCTGGAGTTCCTGAGGCATACAGTCCAACAACATCTGTAGAATAATAATAGTCATCGAATAATAAGAATTGGAAGAGACCACATGGGCCATCTAGCCCAACCTCTTGCCATGCAGGAAAAGCACAATTATTTTCAAGGCCCATGTGCAGAGGGGGAGGAAGAGGCATTGCCATTGAATCCTCATTCCACCACCCTGTTTTTCTTTCCAGGTTCCAGTCATTCAGATCGTCCCTCTGCCCGGAGTCCGCAGCCTGGTTTGCGTGGCTTTGGGCAACCTGGAGATTGTTGAGATACGGTGCGTTGGGCACCTTTGAGCCAAGGATGGGCTGAGGCCCTACACCTCTGTATCACTTGCCTCCAGGTGACTTGACTATCCTTCCTCCTAGGTTCCTGTTCCATCCTGCAGAGGGCAGCTCCATTAAGCAGTCCGTGGTCAAAGCAGGGAACATCAAAGCCGTCCTTGGCCTTAGGAAAAGGAGGATGGTGACGAGCTGCGGCTCTGTCGGGGAGCAAGAGGTGGAAGTGGCCTCCTTCTCAGAGATGGGAAGGTGAGGACCAGCAAACTGGTTCAAGTGCTGTTTTGCAGGTTTTCCAAGAGCGCCACTCTAGGAGAACTTGGTCTTAGACCTTGCAAAATGATGTCTTTGTACTATGGCTGTTGTGAAAAGATCGGCATCTCACAGGGGGCTACAAAACGCACCACAGAAATGAACTGAAAGCAGTATGATGTTTCAGTGTTGAAAGAAGGAGACTAGGGTTCAAAACCCTTCTCAATTGTGGAAACTCATAGGTAACCCTGGGCAGGTCACACTCTCAGCTTCAAAGGATGCAGTAGGCGACCACTCTGAACGAATCATGCAAAGACGATCTTATGATAAATGCCAGAAAACTATTAAAGTTATAGGGAGATCTTTGCTCCACTCTTTCGTAAATAGATAAGCCTTTTTTAGCATGAGGATTGTGGCACGTTCTAGCTTTGTATTGACAGTTCGTCACTTTGCAGGAGCATCGGGAAACGGGCTTTGAAGCCTCCTGAAGAGCCCCTGCTGGCTTTTGCTGAAGTGGATGGGATGGAGGAGGCTTTGGTTGGCATGACAACCATGAACTCCCTTGTGATCTGGTAAGACTCTGCTTGAAATTCAATTCTTGTTCAAAAGCTGGGCAGGCTTTCTTGAAAATTTATATTGGAAAACTTAGCATGTGTATCTAACCAAGATTCTATAAGCAACAGTTTTAAATATATATAAAACTGCATTTCCTGTGCTTTTCCTTCCACCGGATTGAACTATTTGATTTAAGTAAAGATGAATGAAACACTCTCTATACTGTTTGAGTCATACAGCTCCTCAATGCAGCTTGGAAGATCTTGTTTATAGTGTGTTTGCAAATACTGTTAAGGCACAGTATCTCAGTAGCATGCCTTTAAAGTTTAGGGAGGAAATCATTACCGGAATTGTTAATGTTTCTTTAAAAAGTTTGCTACACATTTGAGATGACCAAATTGTTTGGGTATAGTGTATCTATTTGTAATGTCCAGTGTTATGAAGCAATGCGACATTTGGAAGCAAGAAATTTTCTACCCTTCATCGTTTTCATAGGGTTTGTTGCAAAAGGGAATTTGGAAGGGACCTCCAAAGGCCATCTAGTTCAGCCCCTTTCTGCCAGGCAGGCAGCATCCAATCCCTCCTGACAGATGGATGTTCAGCCTCATAGGCACAACCAGAGCACAATGGAAGCAGGCGTTTCTCTCTTTTTGTAGGAACTTGACATCTGGGCAGCTGCTGAGGAAGATGTCCATCAGCTGCTCCTTTCCTGCATCCATCTGCCATAGAGCCTACGCTGATGCGGTACGTCTTTGGGAGTTTAGTCCCTTGCTACTTGGGTTGAGAGAGTTCTTTGGTAGAAAGCACCTGGCATTCAGGCATCCCAGCATTCCCCTTTGCCCTTTTGTGTCCTTAAGAGATGACCCCAGGACTGACTGACCTCTCCTGTTTGGGTGTGTTCTTCTTGGGTGCCAGGGCCTCCTCTTTGTGGTGCTGAGCCACCCTCATGCTAAGGAGCGCCAGACTGAAAGGGGCCCTGCCTTCCGTGTCGTGGCCCTCAACCCCAAGACAGGAAGGAGCGCCACAGTGACGGCCATGTCCCTCCCACGAGGCTCTGGAGGAAGGCAAGTCTTAGCATTGTGGAGTTGGGAAGGACAATCAATAAGTTTCTCATTTTAAGATGAAATTTCCTTGTCTGTCATATGAACCCTTAGCTCCATTGAGTCCTTGGCTGCTGCACTAGGAGGTTGGCAAATTGTGGCAGCTAATACAGAGGGGGGGGGGGGGTTCCTGTGCCCTTTCTCAGCTGCTCTGGTTATGGATTCCAATGCTCCAGGCTCTTGAACGGAGTTTCCTCTTCCTCACATTGTAGAACCTTCGGTGTCACTTTGCATTCACGGTCATGGGGCAAAGCTCTGCATTCTACTAGTGTAAAGACCAGAGCTTCCTGCACTCTAGTTTAAGGCAGGAGGGCTACTGCTTTCCCACATAATAATAATAATAACAACAACAACAATAGTAATAATAGTAATAATAACAACAGGGATTAAGGCGAGATACAACAGGGTTAAGCTGTCCTCTCCAGTTGAAGAGCAGGAGATCCTATTTATTTATTTACTATTTATTTATTAACTATATTTATACCCCACCCTTCTCACCCCAAAGGGGACTCAGAGCGGCTTACAGTAGACAAACATTCAATGCCGCATAAAACAGATATGCAAATAAAACAAATGCATTAAAAGCCATACAGTTTAAAACATCTAAACATTAAAACCAATTATTAAAACTACACAGTCCAAAATCCACAGTCCACAGTCCTAGGTTGGGGTGGGCAACTTCATCGGAGAGTGAGGGCCAGTATCCCTGTCTTGCACACAGTATCTGACTCTTTGCCTCTCCAGTTAAATGGAAATGATGCCAGATCGCTTCCAGTTCTTTTTGTGTCCAAATTTGTGGTTGTTTTTCTGGAATTGGAGTGGACTCCTGGTGGCTTAAGAAGCAAAATGTCATGTCCTTGGGGGGAAATTTTGGCAAAGAAATTGAGGTTTGGAGATCTGCCATAGTGGAACTGGGTAGTCACATGGTCGGCCTTGGGTTTTCCTTCTTCCACAGTGTTTAGATTGAATTGCTGATGGGAACTATGTCTTTTGGGGCCAGGTTCCTGGAAGGCGAGGTGAAGGATGCTTCTGCGGCGGCAGCGGTGCTGACCTCAGGGGCCATTGCGGTGTGGGACCTGCTCCTGGGGTGCTGCACGGCCCTTTTGGCCCCTGGACCCGAAGGGAAGTGGTCCTTGGTCCGCTGGTCAGCTGCAGATGGCTGCCTGCTGGCCGGGAAGGAGGATGGCAGCCTCTGCCTCTACAGCAACTCTCTTGGCCTGCCTCCCACCTGAGACTGCGTCCATTCCTTTGGGTTTCTTCCTCCATAAGAATTGCACACATCTCTTTCAGATGCCCGTTCAACACATAGCAGCAGGACTCACTCAAAACATTTCCTCTGGAGTTAATGGGAATGCATGCCTTTCCCTGGTTTGGCTAAGAGTTACTTATTCGTTCAAGGTTTGCGCCATTGCATTGTTTGGAATGTATCCATTAAAACGCCATCTTTCGAAAGTCACGCTTCTCTGTATCTTGTGGTGGAGAGTTCAACTGTCTGTGCATTAACTGAAATAGGACTGCTCCTTTTTTAAAATTCTGCCTGCCCTTCAGGCAATTTCTCAGTGGCTCTTGCAAAAGTCAGAGACATCTTGGGAAGTAACACAAATAATAATAAAAGTTATATTAAAAATAAAATTATTTTCATGGCACAAATACTATTATTATATATCACTATAGGCAAGCACCTATAGCTGAATATGTCTCACCCTATCCTTTATATTAATATATCTTCATAGAAAGTGGATTCATAAATAGAAACAGAAGTGCAAGAATAAAAAGAAAGTTGGGTTGTTGTGTGTTTTACAGACTATATGGCCATGTTCCAGAAGCATTTTCTCCTGACATTTCACCTGGATCTATGGCATGCATCCTCAGAGGTTGTGAGGCCTGTTGGAAACTAGATAAGTGAAGTTGATATATCTGTGGAATAATGTCCAGGGCGGGAAAAAGAACTCTTGTCTGTTTGAGGTAGGTGTGAATGTTTCCATTGGCCACCTTGATTAGCATTTAATGGCCTTGCAGTTTCAAGACGTGGCTTCTTACTGCCTGAGGGAATCCTTTGTTGGAAAGTGATTAGCTGCCCCTGATGGTTTCTTGTCTGGAGTTCCCCTGTGTTTGAGTTGTTCTTTATTTACTGTCCTGATTTTACAGTTATTTAAAATACTGGTAGCCAGATTTTGTTCATTTTCATGTTTTCTTCCTTTCTGTTGAAATTGTCCACATGCTTGAGGATGCCTGCCATAGATGCAGGCACAACGTCAGGAGAAAATGCTTCTGGAACATGGCCAGACAGCCCGGAAAACACGCAAGTAGCCAGTGATTCCGGCCATGAAAGCCTTCGTCAATAAAAAGAAAGTTATTTCGATGCAATACATGCAATACTAATGTATTTTAGAAGATAGATTCATAAATAGAAAAAAAATTAAAAAGAAATTTCTTTGGAATTGTGGGAGTTGGAGTCGAAAACACCTGTAGGTTCATCCAGAGGGGTGTCTGCTGCTGGCTGAGTGGGCGGGGTCTTGTTTTGCATATCCCGCCCCTGCCTCGTTGCATGCCGGGAGGACACCACGTGACCGCCCTTTTGCGTTCTGCGCACGCGCGACGGCGGTCCAAGATGGCGGCGCGTGTCCTCCTGGTCTCCTCGGCCTGCTTCCGCCGGAGCCTCGCCGCCTCGGCTTCCTCCGCATCCCGCCTCGCCTCCTCCTCCTCGGCCGGAGCCCGCCTCCTCTCGCCGGCTCCCCTCCTAACCCTCCTCCGGACGCCTCAGGTGAGGCCCAAGGACCCGGGGAAGGCCCGAGGCCTTGAATGTGACCCTCTGGCGCCGATAAGGAGAAATGGCAGGGCCCTCAAGCAGAAGTGACATTCGAAGAGTTACAGTCTGCTCTCCCATCCAGAGCTAAACGCCCCCAGTACTCCCAGGGACTTTTTCTAATTGAAGTTACTTTCCCAGGCTCAAAGAGGTCTCTCTATTTTGCGTGAAGTTGCATTCTCAGACTACAATACTGCTATTTATTTATCGTGTCAGGAGCAACCAGACAGTTGTATTACATTTTTAACAAAACAAACAGACAAAACACAAAGATTGCAAGCTTGGTAGTTGATTAAATGTCCTTTGACCAGTATCTGGCCACTTGGAGTGCCTCTGGTGTTGCCGCAAGGAGGTCCTCCATTGTGCATGTGGCAGGGCTCAGGTTGCATTGCAGCAGGTGGTCAGTGGTTTGCGCTTCTCCACACTCGCATGTCGAGGATTCCACTTTGTAGCCCCATTTCTGAAGGTTGGCTCTGCATCTCGTGGTGCCAGAGCGCAGTCTGTTCAGCGCCTTCCAAGTCGCCCAGTCCTCTGTGTGCCCAGGGGGGAGTCTCATTTGGTATCAGCCATTGATTGAGGTTCTGGGTTTGAGCCTGCCATTTTTGGACTCTCACTTGCTGGGGTATTCCACCTAGTGTCTCCGTAGATCTTAGAAAGCTATTTCTTGATTTAAGTCATTGACGTGCTGGCTGATACCCAAACAAGGGATGAGCTGGAGATGTCACTGCCTTGGTCCTTTCACTATTGGCTGCTACTTCAGCGGATGTCAGGTGGTGCAATACCAACAAGACAGTGTAATTTCTCCAGTGGTGTAGGGCGCAGACACCCCGTGATAATGCGGCATGTCTCATTAAGAGCCACATCCACTGTTTTAGTGTGGTGAGATGTGTTCCACACTGGGCATGCATACTCAGCAGCAGAGTAGCATAGCGCAAGGGCAGCTGTCTTCACTGTGTCTGGTTGTGATCCCCAGGTTGTGCCAGTCAGCTTTCGTATGATATTGTTTCTAGCACCCACTTTTTGCTTGATGTTCAGGCAGTGCTTCTTGTAGGTCAGAGCACGGTCCAGAGTGACTCCCAGGTATTTGGGTGCGCTGCATTGCTCCAGTGGGATTCCTTCCCAGGTAATCCTCAGAGCTCAGGATGCTACTACTTCTAATAATATAATGATATTATAATATCACTAATAATAATAATATGATATTATAATTATATATTTATATTACATGTAATATTACTAACAATAATACAATATTATGGTATAGTACAATATACTTATATTTAATACTGATATTGTACTATGCTGATAATATGATATATTGTATGTATATCTTGTAAGCTGCTCTGAGTCCCCTTCGGGGTGAGAAGGGTGGCATATAAATGTCGTAAGTAAGTAAATAAATAAATAAAATCGTTCCCAGGCTCAAAGAGGTCTCTCCGTTTTGCTCAAAGTTATTTTCCTAGGCTCAAAGAGGTCTCTCTATTTTGCTTGAAGTTACTTTCCTAGGCTCAAAGAGGTCTCTCTATTTTGCTTGAAGTTACTTTCCCAGGCTCAAATAGGTCTCTCTATTTTGCTCGAAGTTACTTTCCTAGGCTCAAGGTCTTGTTTATTCTGTCTGAAGCCATTTGCCCTAACTCAAAAGGTTTACTGGCTTTGCTTAAAGTTCCATTCCTAGAGTCTTAAGTTTTCTCTGGTCTCTTCTACACTGTTATATAATACAAAATATTGAGGCAGACAAGCCACATTATCTGAACTGAATTATCTGAATCTATACTGCCATATAATTTAGTTCAAAGCATATAATCTAGATTTTATACAGCTGTGTAGATGGGGCCTCCCCTTTGCTTGAAGTTCCTTTCCCAGACTCAGGATGGATCTACACTGCTGCCATAAGATAAAGGTTGTCCCCTGACATTAAGTCCAGTCATGTCTGACTCTGAAGATTTGGTGCTCATCTCCATTTCTAAGCTGAAGAGCTGGCGTTGTCCGTAGACACCTCCAAGACCATGTGGCCGGCATGACTGTAAGGAGCGCTGTTACCTTCCCACCCGAGCAGTACCTAATGATCTAATCACATTTGCATGTTTTCAGACTGCTAGGTTGGCAGAAGCTAGGGCTAACAGTGGAAGCTCATGCCACTCCCCGGATTCGAACCTGCAACCTTTCGGTCAACAAGCTCAACAGCTCAGCGGTTTAATCCACTGCGCCACCAGGGGCATATAATCCACATTATCAAAGAAAGTAATCCAGATTACCTGCTTTGAACTGGATTAGATGACTCTGTATTGCCATATAATCCAGTTTAAAGCAGATAATCTGGATTTTATATGTAGTGTAGAGGAGGCCTCAGAAGTTTGTTTCTTTTGCTTAAGTTATTTGCCCTGACTCAGAGGTGTGTCTTTTTCAATTGATGTTGCATTCCCAGGCTCAACGGTTTTGTTTATTCTTCTTGGAGGTTACTTTCCCTGTCTCTCAGCTTTATTGGTTTTGCCTGAAGTTACATTCCCTGACTCAAAGGTTACCTGAAGCTACATGTGCCTGTATCTGACCCATGTTTCGACATGAGTACAGAAATAAGGTTGAACACTGTGAAAGCCACCCACTACATGGGTACCAGCCTCCTCCCAGTAGACTCAAATCAAGGAAAAGCTTTATGAGAACTACCACTCCTCTTGGCGTCCCCCCTCTGGGCAGCTAAACCAGGAAATCCCAACTGGATGGCTCCCCACGAGGGTCTTCCTCCAGGGGCAAATCAAGAATTAGCAACTTGGAATTCCCTGAACAGACTCAGAAGTGGAGTGGGCAGATCAAAAGACAACCTGGCAAAATGGCACTACCTAAAAGAATCCCACACCTTGTGTGACTGGAGCAGAACAGACAACTCTGTGTCTGTATGCTTGTCCACTATGCCATTCCTCATATACAGAGGAAGAATTGTTGGAGGCAACAGACAATGTCATTGCTGTTGCCCATTTTTGGTCAAAAGATATTTAGCTGCCTGCGCTCCATCAATTTTTACCAGTTTTATACTAATTTATGCAATGCTTTTCATACGAAATAAAATAAATGTGCTGACATAAGCCCCCCCCCCCCTTCAATCCCTGCTGCAGGTTCACTCCTATCACAGTGCAACCACTGGACATCTGTACCCTGAGTCCATTTTTAGGCCTTCTCTGCAGGGAGCCTGAAGTCCTTGCTTCGCTGACAAAGGCCCCTCTTGCTTCTCCCACAGGTTTCAGGAACATTCCTGCAGTTGAGCCGCCACTATGCTGACCTGCCCCCCCTCACGCTGGATGGCATCAAGGAGCGGGTCCTTTACGTCTTGAAACTCTACGATAAAATCGACCCTGAAAAAGTGAGTCCCCTACCTCCATTTCCCTGGGTTCTAATAGGTGCTTGTCCTGAAATATACAGCACCGTTGAAGGTCACCTCAGTATGCCTTTATCACCTTTCAAGTTAGTATGAAGATGCATCGAAGGTCAGTTCTATACTGCCTTATAAAATCCAGATTATCTCCTTTGAATCGGATTATATGACAGTGTAGACTTAGATAATCCAGTTCAACACAGATAATGTGGATTATCTGATTTGATAATCTGGATTATATGGCAGTGTAGAATTGTAGAATGAATGTAGGTTGATGCAACTT